AATGAGTTTGTGAAACAATGTTATAATATCCTGTAGTATAGGTTAAATTCAGTGAGAAGAGTTTAAGTTGTGAGAAAGAGATCATTCAAAATGGTTTATAAAATAATTATGTACAAAATGTCAGCCTTTTTTTTCAGTTTACCAATATTTCTTTGCTCTGAATTAAATGGTTTTTGGTTACGATTCATCTTGTAGCTGGTGGACATGGTTCCAGACTTAAACAAAAAAATTCTGAAAGTGCTCATGGAGAAAATGAATGGGAAATTTACCTGCGGAACCAGAGCTCCTCAAAACGAGTTTCACTCTGTTATGTTCACCCAATGTGACAAACGCCAGGTTTGTTCGCAGGAGTCACCACACCCCCTCTTTCCTGTGGAAATGGGATCATTTAGTAAATGAGCTGATAAGCGCAGTGGAAGGGGCGAGTGAGTTTTTGTGTACGGTCTGACGCACACAGAAAGCTCCTCTTCCTGCCCCTGCACACAGCGAGACGTGGGGTCACAGGTCAGACTGGGCAATTCTTTCATTTATCCTCCTGTCTGTCTGTGTTTTCTTTCTCTCCGACTCCGATAACGTCAACAACCTCCCAAAAGGAATGACTTAACGACTGGAGACGAGCAGATGGGCCGCACACTATCTATCACTCTCACTGATACCCTTCTGATCTCAGATGGACATCCGGTTCAGGGAGGATGATATTACCACAACACTTCTCTCTGCCGCCTTCACTCCTTGAATTTATAGCTCCCTCCTTCATATCTTCTCTTCATCACTCATCTCACCCGATGTGGCCTCCCCCGCTCTCTTCATCGTCTGTCAAATTTTCCATATGAAATATCAGAGGCAATTTTCCTCTCTGACCAAGTTATTTCTTCATATATGATACTAGAGTGGAATTTTCCTTCTCGGTCAGTGGTGACGGATGTGAAACTGAAGGAGGATAGTGATCTTTGACATAAGGCATGATGCACCTTTGCAGATAATTATAAAAGATTAAAATAGTGTTGGAAACATCATTTCATAAGTTCATGAGAGGACCTAGTATAACCAAAACGGGACACAAGGAGTCAGGTACCCTGACTCTCTTCAAGTAACACCAATAGACTATATAAAGATTAATTATACAGTCTATGCTAACACCTTATAAAAACTACAAGTTCTACCAGAGTGTTTTGCCGGAAGGAGCAATACCTTTGGAAAGAGAAAGGTTACAAAAGAGACTGCGCTCCCTCAAAAACACAAGCTCATAGGTCATAGGCCATAGTTATACACAACTTCAAGAGGCTGTAGTAACTGTGATGTGAGGGAAGTCAGGTGATGTAGTGACAACATCTGCAGTGGGAGGAGGTCAGAGCGAATGGATGGGTTTGCAAAATGTTGAACTTTGACAAGACTGCGGTTCATTTCCCATTTCCAACCAAAAGTCAGTATTGTTTTAATATATCAATGACTGCCCCTAACCATAACTTTTCCTGTTTATTACTGTAACCCTACTGACAGTCCTCTAACCTCATTGGATTATGGTTTTAACCCAAACCATAATATAACAAATGTTTTTGTTCCTGAAGTCATGTGCTTTCCTTCATGTTTATTTTTGTACATACACCTGCCTCCGTTACACTGGTATGGATCACATGCAAAGTTAAGTTATAGCCTATATGGTTGACTTTTTGCTTTTCATGTGACTAAAGAAAGCAAATTAAATATATCTCCAACCATTAAAAATATCCATCTATTCATTAGAAGTGAGATATGAGTGGTTCTGGCAAGGAAGCTAAAACATGACCATGTACTTTAATCATTTGGCCTGTGAGGTGTGTAATGTGAGTCTGTCCGCGCTGACGTACGGGTGTGATGTTCAAACTTATGCATCTGTGACCTCATATGCGAGGGGATATGTCCAGTTACCAGACCTCATTTCCCCAAAGTGGAGGGCCTATGGGGAACTCTGCCAACTAAAACATAAACATAGAGGGAGAGAGAGAGAGTTGTATTACACACATAGTTCTAAATACGGGTCCTGAATTTGTATGAGCACATATAGACTTGGACTGATGCATCATATACATGTCTATATATCATTGTGTGTCAGTTTGGAGCTTGATTTGTGGCTCTTTGGCTGAATTATGCGTTCTCATGCACAGCACGCCAACCTCATTCTTTCCCTGTCAATGATGCCCACCCGTCTGTATCAAAACTCTCCTCGTCTTCACTTCCCCTTCCATCTTACCCCCTCTCTCTTTATTCACACAGGAATGTGCGATATGTGGATCAGCAGACAGGGTGTGTAATATTCCTGCTGAGCTCCGGAGAGAAGGCCAACCCAGGGAGAGGTGGTGAAAAACAACCCTGCTGCCACCTTCACTCACATATCCTTCATTACCTCCCCCCCAAATCCAACGACCATCACACACCTAACCCACTTTTATGGCCTTTCACCTCCATGCCATCAACTTCTCATGCACATACTGTATCTGGCAGGAAACGTGAAACAGGATCACTGGATTTTTTTTCTTTCTTACCATGAACAACCCCTCCGGAGGCCACGCAAACCTCTGAGTATGTGTTCTACTGTACATATTTTATCACTGAAATAAATTCAGAATTTAGAAATGATGGGTTTTGACATATTGGAAGATAACTAAAAACAGGGCTTCAGGAAAAGAGGATTTAGAGAGGGATAAGTAGGACGACAATGCTGAGGAGATGCGTGTGAGTTTTGCATAATGATCTGGCGATTGAATTACTCATGGTACGGACAGAAAAAAAAGAGTACAAATGGAGGAAAACAAAGCTGTGCTCCAAGTAGAAGTAGACTTACCATGCAGGCCTTGCAGTCCCAGACTGACAGGGGAAACTAGAGGAGGGGGATGACGGAAGAAGGAAGAGAAATAACTGCAGAGACTGGCAGCGGTGCAGATATAGAAGTGAGAGAGCAAAGGATCCAAGTGTGCAGATGAGGAGCACAGCATGTGTTTGAAAAATTATCACTCACCTCCAAAACACACCTCTCATATTTTAGCCATACATGGACAGAGTGAGATGGTCTGTGAAGGCGTTTGATATGTGTGTTTGTGCTCATGAAGTCCCAGCAGGAGCTACAGAGCAGTTTTAGATTTTTCTTCTTGGGTGAGGTGCAGACAGAGTTTGTTTTTAGAGGTACTGTACTCCACTTCCTTCTTTCTCTCTCATATAAATCCTGCTTTAAAAACACTAAAAGTCCATCATTACATATATATTTATTTGCACAACCAATTCTGG